AATTTTGATTTTTCCATCTTAATTATTTGAAGTAAGAGGAATAAAATATTCTCTGAATTTTTATTATATTGAATTTGAGTATAAGTTTTAAGCTAAGCCACCATCTGTAGAAACTGCATTAGTTGACATTTATTTACATTGCTTGGCCACACTTTGGATATTGGTTATTATCCAATCCGAGCTATTTACATCAAAACCGCAACATTTTAGTTTCATAATTTAATGTTCGATCGTAGTTTTCTTGAATTTGAATTTTATGTGCTTAATTTTAGTGCGTAGCGAATTCAGTTTCGAGAAGTGTTGTCATTCGTAGTTGTACAGTTCAGAATTCTCGAAACAACGAATCTTGTAGTAATTTAAATCCAACGAAAGTGAGTTCATTAAATTTATTTTATAAAGTGCGTTATATTAGTTTTTGAAATAGTAGCAATATCAGTGTAAAGTTCATAATAATATGTAACATTATATTTGAAAAACTGTGTAATAAATTGTAGTCAGTAATTTACTAGGATTGTATAGTTAACAAATGAAAATATGTAAAATGTTAATAATCCTAAGCTGTTAAAAAATGAAAAGTGGCTTAACGTAAATCATAAAACTTTGCATAAAACAGATTGAAATATCAAGATAGAATCTCTGTCATTTATTGATTTAACTAGTTTAAAAAAATTTAGAATCATTGATTTTTGTTGACATGCTTGTCGTTATATTTAAAAAAAAGTAATTCAGATATGAAAATTAATGCAATTCATGACAACATATTGATAATAATCTTAAAAAATTAACAGTAAAATCTTTTTTCTGAAATTGCCTACATTTTATTACGTTCTAATGTATTTGTATTTGAAGAAGGGTGTAGATTATAACAAAATGAATTGCCTTGCATAATGCTTCTAATAATGGTGCTGAGGTAATCTGTATATTTCACATTAATGATTTCATATTTGTGAGATATATATTTTGTCCTAACAGCAAGTATTCAACAAATGAAACATTTTCAGAAACTTGTTTGACCTTAGCATTTTTCTATTTTGTTATCTGAAATATATAAAGCATCTAAAATTAATCATTATTCTTTATGCTCTCTAATACATGAGCATTTAAAAAGGTATTTTCTATGATATAGCAAATATTTTGTGGACAATAATAGTATTTGGTTTTGTTCTGTTTCCGTATCTTTTCATAGTTTCATCTTTGTCAACATATAAGAAAGGCATTCACCATTTAAAATGTAGTGGAAATAATTAAATAAAATCGTATTCCTTATTTGCACTCAAATTGAAAAATTTGAAAGCAGCCTTTCTTTTTATAAAAATATAATGTCATTATTCAGTAAAGAAATCAAATGCTATATTACCAAAGAAAAATGCGCCTAAAACTATCTAAATAAATAGTTTGTATTTATAATAGCATTAGGTTATCAAAATTTCAAAATATATTATTTCTTGTTGTTTGCTTTATTTCTCTTCGGTATTGTTATAATATATATATATATATTTTTTTCTTCATTGCTCTAAATATTTCCTTCAAACACTGTTTTTAAGAAAAGAGAATCACAAAATTGCCTATATGATTTATTAAGTTTTATTGCCTATAAGATTTATTTTTATAAGATTTATTATTTCATTTTCATTGCGGCCCACCAGCGGCCGAGCGGTTAAGTCGCTGAACACTGGTAGTTCGGTCCGAGGTTCGAATCCCGCGAACGGGCTGGCTGCATGGGCGTTTTCGTGGTTTTCCCCATGTGTAACGTGTATACGAGCCAGTTTCCCTTAGAAAGTCCTCCACGAAGGCACTCCTCCTCTTAGGCTGATAGCCCTCGAGGCTTTGCCATAATCTGTCCACACACACACACACACACACACACATTTTCATTGCATGGGAACATACGGGGAAGGCTTACTCCATCTATTCTAACCTCCTTGGTTTAAATGACTGATTTGAAGGGGGGGACAAAAATTTGTTTACATTTTTTGTACTTCTTAGGATATATTTAGCTTCAAAGATGCGTTTCTGTGTGAGGATTTCTGTGTAGAAACTTTAGGCATGAAATAAGTTAAAAGCGATTAAATCAACTATTAAATTAATAATTAATCATATAATACTGGTGATTAACAATTTTGTATGCCTTTTTATTCTTTTTATGGAAATTTGGCATTTTCAGGACACAAAAAGTATTTCAAAGAAGTTTTTAATACACACACAGTAATAAATTAAATTGAAATAAATAATGGGATGTAATTTAAAAGACAGAAATAATTTAGTGTAAGAGATTTAGATTTAAAAATTTACACAACAAATGATTTATCAGATTTTATAAAGTTACTTTCATAAGATTTTATTTTATGAATAACTTTGATTTTGCAATATGGCATTTTAAACATGTGTGGATACTGAAAAAAGTGATGAATATATAAGAATATTATAATGTTCAGTAAGTTTTCTTATTGAATAATAAATTCTGACAGTCCTATGCTATAAGAGTAGGGTCTAAGTTTGCATAAAAATTCCTCAGTTAAATAAAAGAATTTAAGTAATTTCTACAGCCCTTTTTGTCAATACATTAAAGATTTTTTAACTAATAACCTTAATTAATTTTTAACCTTGCTTGCAGTTAGAACCATCATTAAATCCCTATTTTATTTAATCATTTCCTGCAGATTATCATGTATATAGATTGGCCTCGTCTTTGTAACTGATAATTATTACTTGCAAATTGTTCTCTTGCTAGTGAACTATTAACAACCCTTTCTATTGCTGAGTTAGGGTTAACAACCTTCGCTCTCGCTACCGCCTGTATGGAGTATAATGCATTACTCCGTGCGTCTGTAGCCCACAAGCGGCCGAGCGGTAAAGTCGCTGAACACTGGTAGTTCGGTCCGAGGTTCGAATCCCGCGAACGGGCTGGCTGCATGGGTGTTTTCGTGGTTTTCCCCATGTGTAACGTGTATACGAGCCAGTTTCCCTTAGAAAGTCCTCCACGAAGGCATCCCTCCCCTTAGGCAGATAGCCCTAGTGTGCTTTGCCATAATTAAATACACCATACACACCACCGTGCGTCTGCCTTACGGAAATCAGCGTAAAATACTGGCACCTGAGCTGATTGTGTGCATGCGCGAACGTAGGTGGGTCGATGCGATTAGCCACTGCGGCCATACAGCGTACGGGTAAGACTACGAAACATATTGTTAAATAAATTTACACTGAATTTGGAAGCAAATAGTTACATCCGCATAGTCTTTTTAGGTATAATTTGAATAAAATACCATTGAAATTTCCATTGGACTTCCAAGTTTGATCCTGTATACACTTGTGTTACAGTTGCCATTTACACATTTCCATGTATGCAGATTTTACTAAATTTGAAAAAGTTATTTCCAGTCCTCGTGATTTTTCTATATACTAAGAAGAAAATCGTTTATACTAAGTACCAAAATTAGAACGGTTGACTTATAAACGTTCAATAATGAATAGCTAACATGTAAACAGCTCTGATTAGAATGTAAACAAAACCAACCAGCAGTCCTCTTATGGCAGCGCCCATGATAAGTGGTGACGTCAACCCTGAAATTTCACGTTTTTATTCTTGTTGCGCGGGACACACGGAGAATGCTTATTCAATCTATTCTAACCTCCCCGTACCCTTACTATAGAATGCTGCGAGTTGAACTGAATAGAACGTTTTCCCGCAGAGTACAGCATCTTCATATTCTAAATATCTGAAACATCGTCTTTCATAAACTGAAATATCTAAACAAATATAAACTGTTGACAAATTGGAATGGAATATGTTACGGAATCCTATAGTTTCGAAATCTGTCCCATGCCTCAGAAATATTTCGACTAAAGATTGCATTATTATGCATTCAGTATGAGCTGGCACCCCATTCCCAATAGATATGCCTCTAGAAAGCAAGCTTCGTGTTAAACAAGATCTCGCGAATTGTTTGCACAGCAATATCACATAATTCATCCATTGTGAAAATTTTGAAACCCGTGATTAGACAAAAATTTTCAAAGAAAGCGATTACCAAAACGCAGATGAAGTGACGCTGGACCAATCTGTCGCATTGGGGGGGGGAAGGGATTTTACTACATATTAGAGCTGATGAGCACTGCAATCTACAGTGAGTGAATATGTATATAAGACGTGGTGGGTTGAAACCCATTAAACGGGCTGGCTGCATTGTTGATTTTCGTACTTTTTGTCAATAGTAACGTAAATACGAGCGATTTTCCGTTGAAGTCCTCTATGAAAACATCTCCACCCTTAAGCAGATAGCATTCTGTGCTTGGCCATATTTAGATATCCTAACTTAACCTGCTGCATATAGATCGATGTGCGACAGTATGCGGGCAACAGTATATGTTAACCTAACTTGCTGCATGCAGATCCACTGTAGACAGTGCAAGTGGCACAGCCAGGCGCCTAAAGTGCCAGTTTTCGAAGAGTGCCAGCTAAATTGTTCTCTAACGTGACATAAATGAGTAAATGAAGATACATTTTGCTTTGAATCATTAATATATTTAACTTATACTAGATGCCAATTGTTCTGATCGCTTAGGGGACTAAAAATGATACAGTCATACCTTGACAATATTGGTATTTTGTTTTGTAATTTTTAAATTGAAAGAGGTCAGTTTTATAAAAATTACGAAATACAAATGTTTATATGCTCCTTCCGTCCCGATACATATATTAAGGAGAATTTTGTATTCATTATAAAAAATAAAACGCAAAAGATTTGACACCTTTTGAGATTGTAAGATTTTGTCCAGTACGACAAAAACTGAGAGAGATATTTGTTATATAATGATTTAGTCAAAAGGTTACCGTTAGTCAAAAGGTTGAGAACCGCTGGTCTACATTAATTCATGATAAAACTGGCGCGGAAGTAAGTAGATAGAACGGCATAGCGCCAATAGATGGCAGCACCAAAGACCTAAGTGTACGTTACTATTCTAGCCAGCGTTTACGCTCTCTCAACGAGTATTGTGCATCGACCTGTCTGTCAGTTCACGATAAACTGGTGTCGATTACTTGTTATAATGGTGCGAAAAACCATGCCGTGTTTTGAATTGATGTTTCTCTTTTGGATATTACTAAATGGGATATGTATCATTGGAGGAAAAGTGAATGATGAACTGACTTCACCAAATCATCGACTTTCATCAGTAAGTACGAAATTTAATCCTTCGTAGAGAAGGTAGAATGATTAATTTTCGTAAGACAGGAATTCACATAAAATTTTTATTTTAAAAATCATTATATTATCAAGCTATATTATTAAAGAATGCTTAGGAATCAATGTCTAAACTAACTTCTCAGATGAGGAAAAGCTGTTCATTTATAAGTATTTTAATGTTAAAAATAAATATATGAATTATCAAAAATCAATATACAGTGATAATAATATAAATAGGACATATGTTCTCCTTTAGCAGATATGATCTCTAAAAAGCGTTTAGGCATTGGCTCTTCTAGTCTTGTGTATATATGTTTTACCTCTTTATCATAGAACTATTATAGCGTTCTTAACCATAGCTCTTTTCTCGTATCACTTATTTTCGTAGGACGTTCTCTGAGTATGTCGCGCAAGTTTTCAATCGTATTTAAGTCTGGTGAATTTCCAGACCAATCTACATGTAGCCAAGTCGTGGTGAAATGCGCCTGCAAATGTTTTCCTGAATGGTCCAACCCTGCGTTTTAAAATTTCTATCTATCTACCTCGATAAATTCATAATTCCGTCAATTGGAACTAGTTTTCCAATACTACCTGCAGCGATAAAACTCCAAAGAACTTTTTTTTTTTTTTTTTTTTTTAAGATATTTTACGGTTTGTTGGATGTTTTGCGGTCTGACAGATTCACCCTCGTCTAACGACGTTAGATGTGTTACATGAACAGATAAATGAGTGTCATCGCTGAAAAAGACCTTTTCCCAATCATTCACGGTCTTACGATTTGCATGTTTTTGCCTACAAAGTCATTTCTGCCTCATCTGATATGGCGAAATTAGTTTTTAGTTGTCTTTCTGACTAACAGTCAGAAGTTTACACCACACAGTTGAAGGATAACTATCAATACAGATAGGTAATAGAAGGAATTAAAGCATTTCTAGTTTTTTTATTAATAATGCTATTCTAAGTAAGAATCGATCAAGTTTCGGAGCTGTTTCCCTTTTCTTTCCACATTTGTCTTTCATTTCTGGAGAAAATGATCAGTTTCATTGTGTCTCTTCAGAACTCCAAAAAAGATAATTTTTCCAGAAACGTTCAGTATTTCTTCTTTAGTCATGAATGTGTTACTTTGAAGTACAATAATCTATGCTCTATAGGCGTTATATCCATTTTTAGTGCATTAAAATGAACGAATGCAAAACTTCTTTAAAAAGCATACAAAAGTAACTTCTTCTTCACGCAGAAAAAAGCTTAAAAATGGTGCTATAATCCTAATTTATTGTTTAAACCAGTTTTAAGTAGTAAAAAGACGGTGTTAAGGCAGATAAAACTACTTTGAGGCTGCTGGCGCCAGATGGCAACCAACTTAAAATTTTTATGCATCACTTTGTTCCAATTAATTTGTACACTATGGTGCGGTCCACTAGCGTCCGAGCGGCAAAGTCGCTGAACACTGTTAATTCGGTCCAAAGTTCGAATCTCGTGAATAGGCTGGCTGCATGGACGTTTTCGTGGATCAAAACTTTCGATTTCATCTCTTCATCTTTTCTTCACCAAATCTTTCCACGACCATCACCTCCGAAGACGCTGAGCTTACTTTCAGCAACAATCAAATCAGAATCAAAGTTTTTGTTTAGGTATTTATTTGCAAAATCTAATCCTTTTTCTCGATATTGACTTGAGGTCAAAGGTTTTCTTTTGGGAACTCTGCCATTAATTCCACTGATTGATAATTCTACAGTTTCTGTTGCGAGGTGATAAATTTGAAGCACTTACTTTTGGACTTTTTTTTACTTTTCTTACAATAGTTTTTGTATCAATGTAACTAATTTTCTTTGAACGACCACTTCGAGATTTGTGGAGCAGTTTTCCCTCTGGCTTGTAATTTTGAATCATAGTCTGTACAGATGGACGATTTTTTTCAATAATTTGGCTATTTCATCGTAAGAAATTCATTTTTTTTTGGTCCGATGACAAATTGTGTACAATTACAAATGTAACCCAGTCCATTAATTTGTACAAGGCCGGATGTTGTGGTCTCTTTATTATGGAGGCACCTAATAGGTGGGCCACCATCGCCTTTCCTATGAAGGGATGGACAACCAGGCCTTCTCCGGGAATCGAGCCCAGGCCCTTCGGCATCGCAGTTAGCTACCCTGACCACTATACCGACTGGGCGGCTCCTTTTTATGCCTTTATTTTATATTTCTCATGTTTAAAATTTTTTTCTTGGATTAATTTTTTTCATGTTTAAGAATAATTCTTCATGATTATTTCTTAAACTGAGTATAAACCTGAGTTGATTTAGCTTATTGTTTCTGAAATACGTCAAAGATGTAGCAATAAAATTTTCATTTATAGGAAAATCGGTTTTCTAGTGTATGTTAAAGTATTTAACCCCTTCTTCTAAAATGTACATTGCGTAAAACGGCTATGAACCCAGAGTGGGCAACTAGCGGCCGAGCGGTCAAGTCGCTGAACACTGGTAGCTCAGTCCGGAGTTCGAATCTCGGCGAACGGGTTGGTGCATGGGAGTTTTCATGGTTGTCTCTATGCGTAACGTGTATATTAGAAAATCTTCCACAAGGGCATTCCTTCCCTTAGGCAGATAGCCTTCGTGCGCTATGCCGTAATTAAAGAAATCAAATAAAATCGTAGCGGGCAAGTTTGTGCTTCTTCATAGAATCTTACATCCCCCCCCCAAAGATGAAATATCCGGGTATCAACCCTGAACTCATTCTGAGAGTAATTAGATTACATGGAAAGTATTGAAAATCCTCATAAAAATGGAAGTTCAGGACATTCTTTCTGTATGAATCGCAAGATAAAATTTAAATGAAAATAATTTATTTTGCAGTCGTTATTTAAGGCATTTCTTATTGTTTATTTAAGGCATTTCTTATTTAATCATTTTGCTGCCATAACTTTACATAATCTGGATTTATATAACTTTTAGTGTATCTAGGATATAAAATGACAGGTAAATTTAAAGCAAAAACCGCTTTGGTTTTAGTTGCTTGAACGGTTTTAGATATCTGTTTTATAAAATAATTGAGATCCCAATTAAGAGTGACTTCTCAGTTCATTTGACTCACTTCTCTAAAGGAATGGCCCACCAGCGGCCGAGCGGTAAATTCGCTGAACACTGGTAGTTGGGTCCGAGATTCGAATCCCGCGAACGGGCTGGCTGCATGGGTGTTTTCCATGGAGGTAGGAAAGGGAGGAGGCGCCATTCCGCGCTAGAAGTGAAGCACTGCTTTGAAGCTTGGGTCACCAGACGGGGTGTTCTTTGTTTACATTCAGAAGCTCGCTTGACAAGATTCTCATAGTATTTCGACACACGACAGTTCATAGAAATCGAAAAAGGGACACTCTCGCATGAAAGAAACATTCATAGTATGATGGATAATAGCAATTTGTATAGTTTACTGACATTTACGCAAAAATCACATCATGGTTATTTTTCGATAATTAACAACAGCGATTTTGATTATGAATTTGTTTTATAAAATTCTAAGCTGTTGCACTACAAAAATATAGATTTTAAGAAAATTGCTAAAAGAGATCTTCCAAAATTTATTTTCTAGAAGATTTGAAAAGTTTGAAACTTGATGGCTAAATGTAAATATAAAATTACGTATGTTAAAATATTTGTAATTAGGCACATAGGTCAGATTAAGTTTTTATTAAATAGAGTAACGCATGCAAGGGCTATCTGCCTAAAGAGAGAGATGCCATCGTGCAGGAATTTTGAAGAAAAACTGACCTTTGAGTGGGTATTAAAAATAATACTTATAATTTTCATTCAAATTATATTCATATATATTTTTTATGTAAAACTTTCGGGTGTATGCTAAATTAGTGTAAATTACTGTACACGAAAAATATAGTGAATGCACAGAAATTAAAGATTTGCACATGCTGTAAATGATAAATAGGAAATATGTATGGGTATGCATGCATGTGCTTGCAAAAAGCATGTATCTGCCTTTGACAAAATACTTAAATATTCATTAAATTATTTATAAATGTATTTGAAATGAAGAATTTATTCACTTATAAACAACTGTGAAAGTACTGTGAAGAAATCTAATGATTAAATGTATCTAATTTATAATGATTATAAATGTTATCTAAATATATAATAACCTTAATATTGAATTGTAAACATAAATTGAAATCCTGTTGACAAATACGTTATAAAACTATTTAAGCAAGAAGAATTGTTCGTATTGGAAAGCAATCTGTTAAAAGGTATTGTAAAAGCAAATGCTTTGAGATGCGCACTCTTAAGAACGTAATAAAGAGTTTTGGAATATGTATTGTTGAAATAAAGGGTAAAAAAAAAAAAAATCTCATAAGTATAATAAAAAGAATTATTCCCCTTACATTTTATAATAACTCAGTTACAAGTTTTAATAATACTTAAAAAAAAAAAAAAAAAACTTATTTATTCCCTTTCAGAAATGTTCAGAGAAAGTCAAATACTATTTTCCTAATAATTCTCTAATTTAAAAATGAACCAAAATAGAGCATTAATTATAAAATTGACTTACATTTTCGATTTAAAAAAAGCCAAAAAATCATGTCATATTTAAGAAAGTATTTTAGGAAGAAGCTCTATAAATAGAAAAGAAATAATGCATTATAATTTTAATATTAATAATACAATAAACTTTGATCTTAATTTTTGTACCTTAACCGAATAAAATCGAATTACCTTAATTTTTTTTTCTAATGTAATTAACGAAAACTTGTGAAATATTTCATTCAAATTAAAAAACCATTCTGAGAAAACTGTCCTGTGAAAAGTACAGCATTTAATTCCGTTCAGAATGAAATGTTGTTTAAAAATATGTTGTTTTCACATACTTAGGACTCTGAAGTGTTGTAGAAAAAGAAAATATATACATTTATATGTATATTTGCGACGTAATTACAAAATATTTGCACCCGAACGCGTCAAATCCCATAGAACTCAATGGTAAATGACCC